GCTGAGCTTGAAGAAACTATTTTTTGTGTTTCCACTGAGTCTTTTTATTCCAATGCAATATTCTAATTTTCTCTGAGATAGCAGAATTACAGGTTTATTCATTGGGGTGTTCTGAATACATCCTGGTAGGAAACGTTGATTTATAAATGTAATCCTGTACTGATACAGGACTTCATGAGAGCACATAAAAAATAAGTGTTATATATAATTGTATTAATAAATCAGATAATGTTCTGGCTTTAGGTTACCAAATAGAAATAGTTAAGGTTACCAACTTAACTACTTTAAATATATTCCTTTACTGGCCTTACATTCAGATATTTTAAAATGATTCAAGACATGGATGAAAGCTTCTATCGACGTAAGCGGTATTTGTTTGCCTGCCAAACACCCACTGGCTCTTCAGGGGAACATTGCAGTTGTTGCTGCTCGTTGCTTTTCCTGGTAGTTAGGTTGCTAATTCTTTGAGTCTTCTACAGTGTACTGGAAGTAGAAGTAACAAATAGGCAAAACCTAAATGCATCTGTTGTAAGTTATCTAGGGGAGATAGTTGAACTACAGTCAGTTCCTCTGGGCTGATACGGACAGAATGCTTTGCTTGTCTTAAGAAGTATGCATTGGTATAGACTTTAAATAACCTTTTTTTCCCCTCTAGAGTTTCATATTATTGTTTGTGGGCTGGACTCTATAATCGCAAGAAGATGGATAAATGGCATGCTGGTAAAGTCTTCTAGTTTTTTAAAGCCTGGCTGTTGCTTGAGTATAGATAACTAAAATTGAACAGATTTGTGTAGAATGTGTCAGTAAAATGAAATGGGGGCTGTCCAAACTCACAGCTTTCTGTATCTGCTTCTCTTTTCTTTCTTTTCTTGTTGTGAACAGCATAAAATGCATGCTTTCTTATCTGCCTTTTTCCTGAGGTGTGTTAGGCAGCATTTGTGCAGTGCCCTGCAGGGGTAATTTCAAAGTTAGGTTACGTCATTTGTGGCCTCGTGCAATCAGCTTTTGAGAATTGTAAGAAAGGAAGTTCCACGGCTGCTCTGGGTGGTCACATTGGGAACTTTTCATTTTCCAAACAGTACTTGATGTGCTGCAGCTTGTAAATGTCATCTTTTGGAACCCCACTGCTCCTAAGTAGTAGAAAGCTGGTCATTGAACTGGGTAGTTTTAGCATTGTGAATTTGGTTATAAAATATTGATTTGCTGTATTTAAAAAAAAAATCAAAACTCAAAAGGGACCAAACAAACAAAAAACCCAAAACAAAACAAAAATCAACCCCCAAAATCCTTCAAACCAATGAACCATTTATGCTGGTATACTATAAGGAAATAATGGCATTTATCAGCAGAGTAAGGGGAGGAGGCGGGTGAAGGTGGTAGATGAAGTTCTGCTCACTGACAAGTTAGTGATGTTTTATACATTATGTACCCTTAAAATAAACTGCATATTAAGAATTCAATCATGTGGTGTACCACTGAAAATAAAATTGTTAGGATTTTGTTTCTTGCTGCAACTTGTTCACAAGAAAACACCACAAACAAAAACTAACAAAACCCTCCACCTTTTTTTGTTAGATGTCATTTTTGCATTATGAAGATGGTGTCCTGGATCCAAGTTCCATCATACCTTTAATAGATGGAGGGACAGAAGGTTTTAAAGGAAATGTTCGTGTTATTATCCCTGGTATGACAGCATGTGTTGAATGCACACTTGAGCTTTACCCACCACAGGTAATGGCAACCAGTGATATTTCCTTTTTCTTTTTTTAATATTACTCCAATTTACTTGTTTCTTTCCTAGCACTATACATAATGTATTACATGCTTGCTTCTGGTTTTCTTCCCCTGCCAGGTCAATTTTCCCATGTGTACAATTGCATCTATGCCCAGGCTGCCAGAGCATTGTATTGAATATGTCAGGATACTGCAGTGGCCGAAGGAGCAACCTTTTGGAGGTAAATAGTACATTGCCCTGGTGCTAAACTGACACTTCTCCTTTTAACTAATTTGTTTTAAGTATACACAGCTACTTCTACTAAAACAATCCTACTTTTTAACCTTATGTGGCTCGTTGTCGCGTTGAATTTAAGCCTCCTCTGAGCTGGTGATGGATTTTCTCTCCTTGGACTCGCTCTCCAGTTCTGTATTTGTTCACGTGTTTCTCTCTCTCATCCTGTACAGTGTCTTTCCTGACTCAAAATGTAGGCTCTGTAAATCTGAGAAGTTAAGATAGTTTGTCTATAGAATGTGTTAGAAGTTATGAGGTTTGTAGAAATGATACTTTGATTATTTAAAGTGTCAAGTTTAAAGAGCTTAATGGGGTATTCATTTTAACACAAATTAAAGGGATTTTTTTTTTT